TATTAGGAAGCAATATTTTGGATTCAATATTCTGAACATCATTTGTGGAGGATTTCAAAATCCACTAGGATATTACTCACCGCAACAAATGAAGCTACGGTTATCACCTTACTTATATGAACAACCTAGCCTTTTCCACTCCTATGAGATTAACCACAGACAAATTGCCACAGGAAACAGCTTCATTTGGTTTCATTTGAGCTTGTTCGAATGTACTTCAATGTCTAATCTGCCACATGTCCCACATTGTGGTTGCATATGGCTGTAGCATTTGTGCCGCTTTTTATCATGTTCTCCTGGGTCACGTTTCACATAGGTCCTCTGCGGTGGAATAATTGAGGATAATAGCTATCAAGTGATCTGTAAATTTAAGACGTTCCTCATCGTGTATAAATATGATGTGTTTGGAGTGGTTCCATGATGTCTAAGGGGTTAGAATGATAATAAGGCGTGGTAAGCTGTAATAATATCCAACAACATCGATCAAATAATTTGCGTTAACCAAGTCATTAATTTGATTTTCATTTGCCACATTTTAAAGATGTTTTGAATGAAAATATGCATAATGAAATAGAGATTTTTGCAATCTAGTCAATGACAACAGCGGATTACCTCAGTCACCCGAATATACTTTTCTTTCATTGTGTTTGAATTTGATTTATGATAATACACAAAGGGTGTTGACGATTGACTCGGTTCTAATTTGTATTCATTCACACTGAATACTATGTTTGTGTCCATGAGATAATTCGAAATATGCAATTTAGGCTTGAAAAACGAAAACGCGGAACTTTCACTGAAAATGCTCCATGATCAATAATTCGGACTGATGGCCACATGAAAATAAAAGAATTTTTAAGTAAGGTTTTTCATGCATGCGGAGTTTACGATTATTCTCTTATGATTACCTTCATTGCCATTTCGTGTTGAACCTATACAGAGACTAATAAAGGATAAGTGGTACCAGTCGACCTGAACATATTCGTGTAATGAGGGAAAAAGCCAAAGCTAGAAAGTGGGGCTTGAATACACTAACTTCAAGTGAAATAGTCGATGACTGCCTCATACCCACGATTTTGTGTCTGCATTATCCCTAAAAAACCAGTTCATCTCTAATAGGACCACAGAATGTATTGATGCTCATGAAGTCAAACTTATATGCATACATATAAATAAGAAGAATTATCGAGGAAATAAGCTTGTCTTAGCCAGGATGAATGAAAAACCAAAACACAAGGCGTTGGTGACAAAGTTTCGACCCTCTTGGGAGGCCTTTTTCAGGTCGTTTAATTGGATAATCTCACGTTACANTGTAACGTGAGATTATCCAATTAAACGACCTGAAAAAGGCCTCCCAAGAGGGTCGAAACTTTGTCACCAACGCCTTGTGTTTTGGTTTTTCATTCGTCCTGGCTAAGACAAGCTTATTTCTTCAATAATCATGAGCACGACGCGCAAGTTTTTTCAGTGAGATCCGTTCCATCCATGGATCTTGAGTGATTAAGAAGAATTACCTACCGATTACATGATGAAGGGGATTTCTGATAACCGAATTCCTCAACTGACTACGTCAGTGCTACTCAATAGTTACTTTAGTTTCATTATGAAGCCGTTTCGCATCTACCGGTGTTGTTACTGGATGTTATTTCTTACCTCTGGTCACCTGTTATTTTTGTCATGTAAAGGGTGAAAAAATGTAATTCAATCAAGATCATTGAAGGACCCATTTACATCCAATTAATTCCTCGGATTCCTACATCGAGGTAATCTAATTTGAGGCTAAAGAACAGATGTAATGTGTAAGTGGATTGGAACAGTCAAAAAATAAACGGTATATCTTTTAACTCTAATCAGTTACATTAACCGATAACTGCATTTCATGCAATTAGATATCGTAAATAGTTTTTCTATGTTTTCTCCAATCAAACGAAACAACAGACGACTCCTCTGGTCGATGCTTAACTTAGTTGAAAATAGTTCACCACCACCAATCATTCGAAACGTCTAAATGAAGGTTTGCAATGGTATTGACCGGGTTATTTAAAAAAATGGGGGTCCTATGGAAGTTATATGATGATATTACGAAAATTCTAAAACCACATGTCGTATTATCTGGGTGCTAAGGAAGAGCTCACATTGCGATAAAATTAAATGACACTGGACCTGTTATTGCTGCCTGCAGCTTTACACATTTTCTCTTTTACTTGGCGAACGCATGACTCTGTCGGTTATCAGAAAATTTTGCTATCGTCTGGTTCGGTCGTATCACTTATTTTTCTCATGTATTTTTATTAAGTACTTGTTTTCTGATACTCCCACTCAGAAAGCTGCTTTTAGATTAGTTTGTTAGGTATATACATAGATAACTATGTTCTTCTAACAGTATTGTAGCTGTCCACAATTATTCCAGTTATATCTCTGAAACAACACGGAATCCCTAAGAGCTTCTCAATCTGCCTAGCATAAGCTTGTTACACAGAAAGATTTTCATCACCTTTTGTTATAGTCTATCTGAATTTAATTCATTTTTACAGTAAACCATTAGTTATTTTGTTCATTTAGTAGCCTTGCCTCGAAAGTGTGCGACTTATTGCACCATTCCACTTTGATGACGTGGACTCTCGGCTTTTGAATTTTTATGGTGATTATTAGAAAGTAATGATGGCTCCGTCTTTTTATGATCAATCATTGTGAAGTTAACTTGTGGTTGACAATCTTCTACGCCACAATCGACTTCATATAAAACCGAATGTGTTAGGAGTCACGTACTATGATAAGTGAAACGATTAATAGTTTGATTGAAGCAAACCTTTCCCGAGCTTAATTTCAAAAAAGACAATATTACAATACTGCAAGATTTATGTCCAGGACGATTTCGCTGCATCTCAACGTGGTGCATACTGCACAAAATACAATGTTTATATAGGGCTTTATCGTGGCAACAAAGTAAAGCAAAATACAATTAACAGATGCAACAGACAAAACATTGTACAACCTCGTCATCCCCACATGTCTTGTACATTCAACTTACGTTTGACCAGAAATATTTCGCCTAGCTGAGCTCTCTCTGAAGGTGGAAGCTGGTTATATCCAATGGTTAACGCAGATATGACATCGGCTTCCGTCGTACTGGCTGCATTTGAATTTGTAAAGGATAATAGCATGTTTCCCAATACCTCGCTGCTGGCCTGAACTGTTTGTCTGGCAATTTCTCGTTTCAGGCGCGTACTTGTCCGAAGGAATGAGATTAGTTCGCAAAAAGGTTCCGTAATAGCCTTGTTTTCACCCATCCAAAGTATTGGTAGTATCTGAAGAGAACAGTAACGGCGGGGAATCGATATAAGTAGTCCGTCCATCATTTCGCAGTGAGTTATTTACGTTTCGGGTAGTATTTTCAGGTTCACAAAAGACTTACCCAGCAGTTATGCCGTTCTTCCGTCAAATCACCAAATCTACAATCTCTACGAACTAGTTTTCAATGGATACCGGGAGTTCGGATGTGAGACTTATTATACTAGTTGCCTGTTTTACTGTTCACGTGTGAGACAACTTTTTTAATTCTTGACTTGAAATAGATAAAAATTTGGTCGTGACCATTCAAATATGTGAAGATGTCCATTTGAGCATTTTACGATTCTTCTATGTTTATTAGGCATATCGAGGCAATTTGAACTAACTATCTAGTACGTGAGCAATTTAACGGCCCCGTTATGCCTCAGTTCACTTTCTCCACTCACTGTTATTTTATCTCTTCCTCAGTTAATCAAATTTGAACCTAATTCAAGTGACTACTGAAGGATTTGATTCCATTTAAATGGGAATTTTGATATATGTATATATGTGAATATATATTACTCACTTGAAAGGAGTTGTCAGGTCTTGAATGTTTCCAACCACGTCTTAACTCCGGAAGCTATTGCTGAGATGAGGGAGACGTACAACAAGCTCGTATAGATGGATTGTGCTATATCGTGTAAATGGAAGGTGAAAAATAGTCTGATCAGCTGCCCGGCGACCGAGTGGGTCACATGCTTGCGTTCTGTCTGCGAAATCCCGGGTGTGATCCCCAGTTTGGTCGGTGGGTTCGCATTGCTGATGAGACCCAACCAGGTCGAAACAACTGTCCAGTGCTTCCCAGCTTTTAAGTCCACGCCTCATTTGCTACATACACGATAAATTCCCATTTGAAATCGGACTTGATTCTTCAATCAACTTTCCCATAGTATACTCGTTAGGCATATCAAAGTTCCACTTAGTTGATTACCTCAGTCAACAGTCCATGGGACGTCTGTGATTCACTTTGTTTTTCTTCTGCCTTAACGTCATGCTCACTATTTTTAACCATGACTTATCATCCACAAAGAGTTATTAATTCCCAGAGGAAAGTCACATTTTTATGGACCACCATGAATTATGAAAGCATCCGGTGATTGTCTACATCTCCTATTGAAGCCGAAAATCCCCTTATGTGACGCCATGCCGAAATGTAATACCAAAGTAGATCTCCTTGTGACTAATTTCCCTCGTGGTTGCGTTCTTATTTACAATTTTCGTATGATGCATTTTATCATCACAACAGTTCAGTGAATCCCTTAATAATGTTGATTGTTTCAGCCATGTGGGTGTCGATCGCTTCATAGATTGACGGTAACCCGATGGAGAAAACGGAAACAAGTTTAATGCTTGGTCAGTATGATGAGCCGTTTAATAGGGTAACAGATTTACGGCAGATAATCAGACTGTCAGTTTTTATAGAGCTGCTAACGGTGATTTTGAAACATCGAATGTAAGAAAACGATTGTAACTTTACAAATTTCCGAGTTTTATCTCTGCGAGTATTTGTTTATAGGAATATAAAATCGCGTCACGAATCCAAGTAATTTTTGAGTTTTACATATTACTGACCTCAACCAACTCACTGGTGTCAGCGGTTCCTGAATATTGTGAAATGTATATATTTATACAACCATCTTGTGGGAGGTGACGCTGATCACCATTCTCTAACAGATAGCTGTCCAAAACGACAGAGGAGCGTACAAAATTGTGCCACATTCAACAATTGTAAAGGGAGATATAATGAGCAAATCTTTTTGAATTAGACGAACCAGATCACACAACTTTGTACTCAAGCCCTCAAATTTTGCACTCAACCGATTATCCAAATCCGAATCCCATTGGGCGGCTACTTTCGTGATCACTTGATACTGTGCAGAGTCTGAAAGAGGAAATCAGACAAAAATAGAGATGGCGTGAACCAAATAAATTCTAGCGGTACGAATAATGTGAAATAGAGAAAAACTATACCTCTTAGTTTGTCACATTGTCGTGTGAAGGCATATTCTCGGTTCTCATTTAGGACGATACCGAAAAGAATGGAAATCGTATTTCTGATCAGCCTTCATGTGATCTGAAAGGCAAGATACTGCCTGTAGGATGGTCTGTCTCAATCATTATGAAACGTTTACGAACAACGGGCAATTCCGTAGCTAACACTGATTCTTGTCAATATATCAGTATGCTTTATATTTTATATATATATATATATAATAAATTTCGCCATTTACAATGCAAAAGATGTGTGGAATGAAAAGATATAAAGCACTGAACAAGTATTTTGATTTGATTGGGTCCCGTCATCAGCGAGCTTATTGCGAATACCGCACCACGTACATCTCAGCACTAGTCTCCATAGTTAACACTCACTAGGAAACATTCCAACATTACTGATTGTTACATAAAAGTAGAGAGATGGGCAAAACAGATGGATAATCAGTAACTGTTNTAACTGTTACCACTCAAATGCATGCACCACCGGGGGTAATTTATTTTCTAAAATTGGTGAGCATTCCTTATCCTAAAGGAAGCTAGCATGATTTTAATTTTCAGTCACGTCCTAATCAATAAAACCATAAATCATTTATGCAAATACACGAAGAGGAAAGCTTTTGACTCGGGAAGTTTAATGAACGATAAGATTTGCATGTAATCCTAGTACCTGGCTCTAATTCAATGGTAGAATATGTCGTCAAAAGGGCTGTCGCAGCTGGATCCTCCATGGGCTTTAGTTTTCTTCCGATATGTTTATTGCCCAGTTGGAAAAACGAATGGTCACCTAAACGGACAGTATTCCATAAACACAAAATACAATAGCGGTATATTACATGCAAGTTCCAGAGGTCCTCTTGCCTTCACTGTCCGCGTGCATTAAGTGTACTACTACTTGAAGATTTAGCTCGGTGATCAGATCCAAGCAAACATTCACACGTTCGGATTTAGATGAGAACCATTCGGTTAACAACCTGGTACCTCCTCGCTACTATTCTAAGGTGTATTTATAGTTGTACGATGGATCAATTATATTTATTTGAAAATGAGCTCTTTCAACACCCATTCGTATTGATCTCCAGGGAACCTCAAGTACTTTTGATTTCTTTCAAAAGGTATACATTCGGAATATATGTTATTCCGTTTAATTAGAAAATCTATTGGAGTGAATTCAAGAATTTAAAGCACCATTGCAAATCATTGTAGCAAAATGACATTTTCGTACTACAGTTTACAAATGCTTGAAAGACTTATTTTGCTTAGTACTTTCTTCTGTGACGTGCAATGCATCACTTATGATCTTCAGTCATGGAAATATGTTTGTCGAACTAACAAAATTTCCCCGGAATTCACTGAGTTTTTCTGCTCCAAAACGGTGCGGGTTCCATGTGGATCACAGGTAATTAGAATCAGATTTAATAAATGTTTTGAAGGGCTACTTAATTGCGGTCCGAAATAAACCAATTTTATGACCAAACCTTTTGCATTACCTAGCCCACATTGTGCCATTGTCAGAGTCAGAGATTCTGGTAGCGCTTTAAGCAAGCGCCCAAACACAGATCACATCGAATAGACTTATTTGCCGTCCATCTAACATGGAACTGACAACATCTTAAGATAACATTAACTTACATTTCAAGTAGGTTTTCGCAGCTGCGGTTGTACTGGAGAGTGATACGGTCTGTTCAGTGTTCTCTTTGGTGACAATAGTGTTTTTGGTGATGGTCGTTATTGTCACAGCATTGTCTAAAATCACAGTAGTCTCCGATGAATCCGATTGCGGTTGCAATACTGCACCTTGAGACGTGACTGGTTCTGCATAGATGGCCTCACCAGGTTCCGAAGTTAGTTTATAGTCAAAACTAAAACTCGCAGTATTACTAATCTTCGGTGTTATGGGATTATTTTGCAGAGGCGAAACTGTTTCCTGCTCTGGAAATTGAAATAAGCTTTCTGTGGAACCAAGTGCTCCGATTGGTTCTGTTGTAGTATCGATAATGCCGAACCAAAGCGTTTCGGCAAACCGTTCCGGTATTTCCGTGGAGAGTTCCTGTGAGTTTCTGAATTGATCATTCATGTACAGTGTCGACGCTGTAGGCTGAACAATAGTCGTTTCATCTTTGCTTTCCATTGATGACATAGTCTCCGGGAGTATTCGTTCAGTGGATGCAGTATATGATAAGGTAATCCCAAAAATCTCTGTTGTTGTCCGGTCAGTTGTACTCGAGGTGCACAAGAGCTCAGCAAAATTTGCCAATATGAGAAACTTTAAGGTAGTCTTGCACTGATTCATTATGCACAAAATGAGCATTGCAACTGGATAAGGTCGTATTGATCACAGAACAGATGATAAGCAAGTCTTTATCATGCGTAACCAGAATGATTTGTAAGCAGGTGAACTCTTTCTGTATACATGAATACGGAGCCGTACAATGCGTAAAGACAATTAGAGGTCAGGTAACATTGAGCGAGTTTTATCACATCCAAAATCCAGTTTAACCAATCTGATTCAACTTCAACCTGAAGAGACACAGCAAGGTTTTGAGCTCTCGGGTTGACTACAAGTAGGTCGGGTGCCTTCATCTGTCAGACGTGGAATATAAAAGTGAACAACCAATCATTAGGAAGCGAAACTGGTGTCTCTGTCTGATACAAATACTTCATCAGTACAATCCTTTGGAGAATAATCTGACCCTAAAATCTGATAGTAGACACTGAACGTTTACCTACTCAGTATGGATTTACCTCACTTTTGTTGTGAAAACATACAATCATCTTTAACAGTCCCTTTGAATTTGATAATTTGTACAAAGGAATCTTGCAGTTGAATCGGATCTATGATCAGACATTGATGGCAGTTACTCATCGTGCGGTGATCACAACGCAAGCATCGTCGGTGTCCAAAAGGCTTGGGCCTTTGTTTCGGAATACTTTTTACATTCACTGGGATTCTCCGATTTTTGTGTGCACACCTGTGGTATTTGTGGTATACGAACCACGAAATAAGAATCGCGAACTAGAAATCACAGACGCAACGTAACCACTGGATCACACTGGTACATGCACCTAGTATCCCACGGAACTAAGACGCGAGGAAAAGGCAACAGGAGTAGCAGTTCATTTATTGAGAGAAATCAAAGAGATGAAATAATATGTACAAAATAATTCATTGGGTATCCAAGTCTCTGCTAATTGCGTTCTAGTATTTCTGGCATTTTTCAGCTTCTGTCTGGGCCGCACAGTTTCCGATTGATTGGTACAATCGGCCTATGATTTGTATTAATTTGAGCTGACTTTCCTTCGAACTTCATCTTCACGCACAATCCTCAGTTCATCGATTCAACCATACACTCCGAGTGTATGTAAATGTTTTTTAGTTGGGTTACACATGGTCGTTATGTCTGTGGTTTCATCTCCGTAACTTATCATCAACCCGCATTTCTCTTCTCTGTTGTTCCATAACGGTTGCCCACTCTTGGCTTGCTTCTTGCTCCTAACTGTGTCAATCTTTTCATCGAAACGATGGAATCGATCTTCCTTTTCTGTTGTCCCATGGAAACGCTGTTTATTTGTAATGGCAAAATTACATGTCCTCGTTTAAATTCACTACGAAAGCAAAAGGAACGATCCTACAAATTGTTGATTGTGGAAAGTTCAGTAGACCCGGTTGGGTTCAAACCCATGTATGGACGCCGCCTACGCTTTGTACGCGCACGCTCTACCAGCTGAGCTACGAAGCCATACCGATGGCACTGATCTTTTCACATTCGAATTACAACTTACAGAGGCATATGGCACCCACCAATTAACATTAACATGCTAACTGACTTCACCGACAGGTTTTCCTTAGAATTCATCAGTGTCCACCGAATGAGCTTCTAGACAAGTTTCATTGTGCAAATAATTATTTTGAAAGAGCTTTTAACAATCGACATAACAACTTCAAATTTACCAAAGCAACCATTTGCACGATCCTATAAATCTCACGGTCCATCGGCTGTGAAGTATTATTCTAACTTAAATAAGGCTGAAATAACACGTGTAAACAAGATGTTCATTTCTCAAATCCTGTAAACGAAAACATAAGGCTTCTATGGCAAGGAATTAGTCTTCCCTGCAGACAAAAAAGGAAAAAATGTACAGTGATTTTGATGTAAATGGCCTTAACGCTGCATTTATTGATCTATCTAACGATAACCAGGTACCCTCCTTCCCATGTGAGGTTTCTATTTCTGATCTGTTCCCCTTTTCGAATGATGCAATTTTTAGGCTTCTACGTTCCTTCAAAACATCGTCATCTGCGGGCCTTAATGGTCTTTCTCCAGCATTTGTCAAGTTTGGAGCAGCCCCTCTAATTAGCATGCTGAAATCTCTCATCAACGAGTCTCTTTCTGCACATATGATCCCCGATTCCTGGCGACCACTGACCATAATACATGTTCCAGTGACCTCATCCTCAACCGTATTCGTCCCATCGCATTGACGTCTGGAGTTCTAAAGTTGACTGAGAAAACCATCCTGAGTAGCTAACAGTTACTTGTCACCACTTCCCATGATCCTCTTCAGTTCGTGCATAAACCGAACGGATCCACTTTGGATTCTGTGTCCACTCTGGTTCATTTTATAAGCGGGTTCGTTGTGTTTTTCTCGATTACTCGTCTACTCTTGATTATGTGTCCCCGTGATCCCTCCTTTTCACGCTTGGCTTTGTTGGCAACCCGAGACAGCTGCTTTCGTGGCTTTCTGATTATTTCACCGAAAGAATCCAGTGCACAAAGCTGGGCAAGAGTACCTCAAGTCAATAATTCTGGTGTGCTTCAAGGTGCTCTCCGTATCTTTCCTCTACTGTTATTAGAAATCTTTCAGTTTCATACTGCTTATATCCAAAAGAATGCTGGCGATTGCGTGTTAGGTCAGACCGTTTCTTTTTCTTTGGAATTTCCCTTTTCACTGAAAATTTGTTCCGAATTGAACGGTTTCAAACCAGTCTGGCCCTAATCTTAACGCACCTGAGTGCTTGTAGTGCATTTTTAGTTCTTCCCGCTCTGCATTCCCGTCGGACTCTGTAACCCTTAATTGTAACCTTTTGTCTAGAGTGACCTCAGCCAAATATCTGGGTGTTACCGTCGATAATAATCATCGGTGGTCGGCACACATTCAGAACTGTATGGGAAAAATTCGGCGTCTCTCCTTTCATCTTCGGAAGCTCAGACAATTTCGAACTCCGCACAAGTTTTGTTCTCGCTTGTTAAACAATGCGTTCTCCCCATTTTACTTTGCTGCTCCTCTGTAGTGTTGCCCGGTTCATTGAAACAAGACTTTAAAACTAACCGTCATGGATTGATGATAATAAGCCGTGCATCTTTCATTTCTGCTTAGTCATTAATCACAGAACTTAATAATGTTCATATGAAGTCGTGTGTGATCTTTCCCAATAAGATTTTAAACGACCCCTCTCATCCTTTGCATCTTGACTTATCTTCTTGTCGCTCCCACTCGACCAATCATTCCTCTTATCGGTATCTACCCTCTCGAATAAACATTTATAAAAACTCCCCTTTACCGTATCTGGCTGGGACTTTGACCAACAAGGAACGAGTTATAAATGAATTACGTCAATCTTTAATTGAATGAAGCAAACTTCGGAGACACTTTTTTATTGGATCTGTCTATACTTTTACATTTTCTCCGGTGACAACCAGTGTACAATTTTGAACTGAAATGTAAGCTTATCTCAGCTTGCAAAAGTTATACAAATACAAATGAAATCATATTTTTTCGACTGTAGTATGTACCTGAGGAGATACAGCGAAACTTCTCCGGAAGTAAATTGTGCCACACTGTGCTGCGATGTTCTTTATGCATACAAAACGGTCCACTTTCAAACATGATGATGAATATGTTTTATTTTAAGCTGCCCGGGTGAGAATTTCTTCGTGTGTATTACTCGTTTTATTCACTCGACAAACCGAGGTTTGGTTCGTGAGCTTAGCGTCAACGAGGGTACATTCACTTCGCATCCTTCCATCCATCGTGTCAGTACCTGGTCTGCACAATATATCCCTCTCTCTCTCTGTCCTGGACTATATAGATAGATTGATAAATTTTTCCGACTAACTGAAATTTTCATGCACGTACTGTATTAGCACCCAATTT